CTGGCTGGCAGATGGCACTCGGAGGAGGCCGACCCTGTGTGATCTAATGGGTCTTTGGGAGGTAATTGGCAGCAGGCGGTCTCTCAAGTACCCAGGTCTCCGAATACTCTTCAAGGGCTGCCCCATGTAGAGCGCAAGTGATTTTGGGTGATGTGCAATAACGTAAAGAATATAATCGGCATCATTTCTGACCTACTGTTTACAGTTAGTCCTCAACTTAGGACCACAGTTGAGACCAGAATTTGAATTTCTAAGCAAGGTGGTTGTTAAATGAACTGTGTTTGATTGGTCAACATTTTTTCGCCATTGGGGTTGAGGGAAACATGTAGTCGTTAAGTCAATCCAGCTTCTCCCATTAATTTTACTTGTCAAAGGGTCATAAATGGTGATTACATGACCGAGGGATACTTATAAATTATTTATGATATTATTTATAAATACATGCCTCTTGGCAAGTGCCTCAATTCTGATCACATGCCCATGGGGATGTGTTGTGGCCTGCTAGCAGCCAGCAGAGCTGGCAGCAGATTCGGACAGTGAGGGGGTGGGCAGGAACATGGACCAGTCCTGGGGAAGGCTCCGATGAGGGCTCTGCATTGGAGGCAGAGATGGGCTAGAGCTGCATGCCATTGTTGTCCAATGGAACATAGAGAAAATATCTAGGGTGAAACAAAATGTTCAAAAAAATAGACATGCAAAGGGTTTGGGAGGCCTGCAAAGTGTTCCTGGGGGCTGGGGAGGGCAAAATTGAGAAAACAACAGGCTGTTTTTGCTTCTTTTTGCCCCTCCCCCCCAGACCCCAGGAGCACTCTACAAGCCTCCTAAAGGCTATGCATGCCCGCTTTTTTGGCAAAAACCGGGCCCATTTTTGCAAAAAATGGGCTGTTGTTTGCTTGTTTTTGCTCCCTCCCCCAAGCCCCCAGGTGCTCTTTGCAGACCTCTCAAGCTTTCTGCATGCCCTGGTTTTCACAAAAAATAAGGCATTCAGAGGGTTTGGGAGGTCTGCAGAGTGCAAAAACTTTTTTAAAAAATTTACCTCTTCAAAATCTTGGTGCGTCTTATACTCCGATATGTCTTATACTCCGAAAAATATGGTATCTGCTTTACAACCACGGCACAAAGTTCATAAAATTTGGTGTGACTCACTTAACAAGTGCCTGGTATAACATCAGAAATACTCATCTCAATTCTGGCCATAGGTCGAGGACTAGCTACATATATACAATTCCTCTCTTGGGAATGGCCATTGGCTGAACTATTTTCAAAGATAGCTACCAAATTCTTACTGACCTGTCCAAGAGCTCCCAGTCTTCTCCTCCCCATTTGTCACGGAACTCTTCCGTGTTCATTCCGCCGATACGAACCAAATCAGATTTATATATGCCCAGGAGACCAAAACCATTAACTTCCCAGTAGCCTATAAAAGAAAAAACCCCTAATTGTTAGCCATATTTTTTTTGAAAAATAAAGTCCCCAAACACGTGATGGCAAACCTATGGCACGCGTGCTAGAGGTAGCACGCAGAGCCCTCTCTGCTGGCACACGCACCATCGCCAGTTGCCCTTCTGGTTTCCGGCACGCACATGTGCATCAGCCAACTGGTCTTCACAGGCACAGAGGCACCAGAAAACCGTCCCCAAACCACCCCCAAAACAGGCCATTTTTGGGGCATTTTCAGACTGGTTTATGGGCTGGTTTTGGCCTGAAAACGGTCCAGAAAACAGCCCCTAAAACGGCCAAAAATGGCCAAAAAACCAGGCATGCGCACGCCAGACAGCTGGTCTTTGGCTTTCTGGCACTGCCCAGAAAATAAATCTGCTATTGAAGCATCATTTGCCTACAACCAACCCCTTACCATCTGGCTGTTGTGGAGTCGCACCACACTTCAGTCTCATAACTATGGGTGCAAAGGCCATTTTCCCTTCCACGCAGTGCTTCCGAACAGAGTCAACGAACCCTGCCGGGAAATGGATGTGCAGGTCACAAAGAAAAATGATGCTGTGAGAATCCTGTAGGCAAAAATATAGAGCTGTTAATTCTGCTACTGCCTAAGTCATTGGGCTTGTCTCCACAGCCTCTTTGCCCCAGATCGGGGGTGACCCCTTAACTTTTATAGAAGACTAATCCTGGTACCATCCTCTTGTCATCAGCCTGCTGCTGAAGCCAGATCAGGGGGAACCAACAAAACGTAACAAAACATCCAATGCTGCACGAAGGAAGAGTCTGAAGACTGTGTTAGACTTCTCCATCACTGCACATCACTGAACCATTGTTCAAAGGCGGTTGCATAGCTGTTGCATTTATATTTCTGTGAATGTTAATGTTCTGGCCAAGGGGCACTCAAACTGCAAAGCACCAAGAGGAAGTGGAATCAACCAATTAGCATGCAGAATGTGGGATGTGTGAGGTGTGCGCATCAGCCTGTTTGCAACTATTTGCAACCGATACTTACCTGTTCTGANGATAGACTGTTACCCAAGCAGCCAATCTCTCCTCTCCACGTCACTGAAATAGTCCAATGGAACGGCAGAGCCGATATGATTGGTTCCAGCTGCATTGCAGGAGTTACCAGAATATGGCTGTACACAGTCATGAACTGCTTCCGGGACTCTGGCTTCAGATTTTGCCTCGAGGTTGACTCCTGAAGCCTTTTCCAGTAGTGGATCTAGTCACAAGGCAGTGGAGATTTGTAATCAGAGTTTCCCTTTTCCTTGAAGATGATTCTGCCGCTTTATCTGCCGTTGGGGCGTAGAGCCCTCTTCTGCCTTCAAAACCGTTGACCGTCTTCTCCTGTAACCCTGGAAAGGGGCCCTTACGAGGTGCTACCAGCCAGGCAAGCTGGACCAAAGTTTTTTAAGGAGGTGCTACTCCTCCATCACTCACCCTTTGTCCTGGCTTGTGTCAGGCAGAGCCTGGCTTCCCAAATGTTGGGCCCAGGATGGCAGGTTTTTACTTTTATATAATAATATATATTAGCCATTTCTAATAACATCAGACCTTATCTAATCAGCAAAACCCAAAGTTAAAGTTTTGTTTTCTTTTTCCATCACAAGCACAAGGTCCAAAACATATTTCCAAGTGGAAAAAAAATAGTTGTGTTCTTTAATCAAAGCAGTCAATTTGGCCATGTCTGCAAACTCCATCAAACTTTTTCAGCCATTCGTCCTTGGTGGGAATCTGCTCGAAACATCTTAAAGCAATATTGTTTTTTCCTTGCCGTCATATAACACTTGTGATGAGTTTAAGAAATGGGCCTCCTGCAATTCCTTATCTTTTGCTGTGAGTGGACAGAAAAAATTGCAGCCTTTTCTCTCTTGTTTATCCGAATTGTTAGGTGGAGGAAGAATATTTCACATCACTAGGGCCTCTCTGGAGAGTGTTTTGCATGGAAGATTTTTGATTTAAGATTAGAACGAGTTTTTATTGGATATCTGCCAATTCTAGAGAGCAGGGAATTTATTTAAACAGAGACTAGTAGTTAGCCATCATTCTTCTGCCTTTCTTTTCCAAAATTGTTTCCACCCCCCTCATTCTTTCAGTGTTTGTTTTCTGCTTCCCTTTCACTTGATAAGGATATTTTTCTGCTTTATACTCATGCTTGTTAATCCATTCGCAATTGAAAGGATTATATGCAAGAACGCATAGAAGAACAAGAGGCAGATACTTGTGAGGCACTGGGCTGAGTTAGTGCACCACAAATGAAGAAAAAAAAAAGAGTTCCAGGACAATTTAAGCATGATGTTGAAAATGCAGATGTTGGACATGTTGAAGACTATGATTAAAGGACTTTTTAATTCAATTATCAGCATCTATATTATATGTCAATGTTTCTGGGAAGTTTAAGCAGCATGGACTTCAACTCCCAGAATTCCCCAACCAGCAGGCTGGCTGGAGAATTCTGGGAGTTGAAGTCCATATAGCTTAAAGATGCCAAGGTTGAGAAACCCTGTTATACATGAATGGATAATCCAATGAGTAGCAATATTGGCATGAAGCATATAGGAGATAGAACAGAGTGTAAGAAACTTTGAATTGGCAGGTGAGATTGTGTAAATGTTGCATGCGTGTATGCTTTGCACAGTCCATGTTGTATCAATGAATTCCTAGCTGCCTGCTATATTAGTAATTCTGGTGACCTGTCCAATAGGAAAAAACTCAAAAATAATATGAATATTAAAAAAAATCCAAAAGCATGAATGTTCAGAGGTGACGTTCTTATTGTGCCCATTAAAGTTTGTTTACTTGCAAGCTGTTGAATTCTCTAGAGCTGTTACACAGGTGACATGTTTATCAGGTTGCTAGTAACAAATAATGAATTCAGAGATTTTCTGCAGTTACAACTGGAATAATTGTTTAAAATGACACTGCCTTTACTTAACACTCTCTCTCTCGCTCCCTCCCTCCCTCCCCCCCTCCCCCCCTCCCTCCCTCCCCCCCTCTCTCCCCCAATTAGATCAAG